TGTTCTCAGTGACCCAGAATTAGTAATGTTTGACTACATTTATTTCAGAAGCATTTTGGCTGTAGAGCAGTGTTACATGATCACATATTTTCCCCTATATGACACAGCCTCATTCAACAGCTATTCAATATTTCTTTTTGATCTTCATCCAAACCCTGTGCTGAAAACAGTATCATTAATTTCTTCTGGGCCCTTTCTATAGTGCTTATGATAATATATTGCTTTACAAACATGAATAATTTTATCTTCACAACACTCATGTGAAGTGAGGTAGCATTATATCCATTGAGAAAGAGATTAAAGCCAACATTGTCAGAAATGTAAACTAATTTTGGGCATCACATTTTAATTTTTATTTTAATGTATTACCTCATTTACATTTAAGGCCTGTTTTTTCATATTACTTAGTTTTTTTATAGCACTTTATACATTCAAAGGAGAGCCCCCATTTACAACAGTTGCAGTTGTGAGTGCTCACAATTGCTGCAACTCAGACCCTGGGTGTCTCATGGGGTAACCAGAAAATGAGAAACCTAGGACTGCCTATGAAAATTTTTGTTTACACGATTTACCCAGAATCATATAATTCCTCTTTGGCAGAGGCAGCGATAGAACCTATCTTTACAGGGTGGCTTTCAACTGTATTAACCACATCCTCTCTCTACCTCATTCCATGCCTCATTCACTGTACATTTTCCAACTTCCACTACAAACAAGGTAGGGGTCCTTACAGACAACTACAAACCCCTGATTCATCCCCAAGAGCACAGTCTGTCCTGTGCATGAAGCAAGGGTCGTGTGCTCTTGTAATTAAGGACTGTTTCATAATGCATACTCAACAAGAGCCCCAAATTAAGGTTCCACAGGCAGCCTTAATTCTGGCATTTTCTAATTTTGAGGGCTTGATTTTGCAACCTTAATGCTCTTTTAGTGTAGGTTTTTTTGGATGTAATACATACTGCCATTGAATCAGACAGCTTTGCACGTCATAAATAAAACACACAACAAGAGACTAGTCTCTTCCTCCAGCACTGGAAAATTCTCTAGCAATACAAAAAGCTACAGTAAGTCACTGCACTGGCCTTTTCTAACAAATACCAGTAGGTCATGATGTGCCTACTGGTATTAAACAGGTTTAAAACAAATACAAGGAAGTTCTCCTTCACGCAGCGCACAGTCAACTTGTGGAACGCCTTACCTGAGGACATTGTGAAGGCTAGGACTATAACAGCGTTTAAAAGAGAACTGGATAAATTCATGGTGGGTTAAGTCCTTTAATGGCTATTAGCCAGGATGGGTAAGGAATGGTGTCCCTAGCCTCTGTTCGTCAGAGGATGGAAATGGATGGCAGGAGAGAGATCACCTGATCATTGCCTGTTAGGTTCACTCCCTCTGGGGCACCTGGCATTGGCCACTGTCGGTAGACAATAAACTGGGCTACATGGACCTTTGGTCTGACCCGGTACGGTCGTTCTTATGCCTAAAGAGGGACTTTAGAAGTTATTAGCGCTCAAGCCAGAACTTTCTCAATTCAATTATATTCCTCTCCTGTTAGTTCATGCTACACTGAAGTAATCAGTTGTGGCAATCAATTCCTTAATATCACACAGCCATAGTGGCTTCAATATGAGATCAATCAGAAGGAGAAAATTGAATTCAAAGGTCTTTACTTACAACCAAAGGAATAAACAAAATAATAAATTAGCGGCAAAGTAGTTTGGATTTGTTTAGTTTTGCCTCCCTGGTCTCCATTTCCAACAAAAAGTTTACCAAATACCTCATTCTAAAGTTCTAAAAACCTCAGAGAGCTTTCTATAAACCTATTTCATTAACAATGGGGTAAAGAATTTTAATTTGATAGTTTAAAGAACATTAAGGAAAATAATGGTGAAGTGTATGATCATGCTTCCAGAGTGCTGAACAAACATTTAAAATAAATCGAACGTAAATAAATGAGTTCAGTGTAAACTCCAAGATATATATAGCTCTGTACAAACAGAAGCCCTATTTACGTGAGAACACATCATCAGTCCCCACTTACCCACATCATATCCATTTTCATCCAGTTATCTTATGCTCCCACTCAAGCCTGTTTGACCAACCACTTCTTATCTTCTTTGCATAATTCCCAGTTTCCATGCTACTTTCTATGCTGTCTCAGGTGGTGGGGGCAGCCTCCCAATGGATAATTTCCCTTCCAATCTCTTCCATGAAGCTTATGTAAACTAACATCAACAGTTAACTCAGGCATTGGACAGTAAAGTTACCTTCTACTTATTTGTCCCCATTTGGCTAAGGACGTCCCTTCTGTTGGCATTCTGCATATTTTACTAATGGAAAGTGTCTACATGCTATTTAAACAGATTACAAATTGCTATTCCAAATTTAGGGTGAAATTCTAGGTAAACCACCCCATGGTTCAATAGGAACACTAATAAATGTGTGTACTGCTCTTTGAAGATGTATAGCAGTGTGTGAGCTTGCAAACTTACTTTCTTATTTTCTATCCCACCCATCTTTTACCTAAACTTGACCAAATTAAAATTACTAGACTTCTTTCTCCTACTTTAGCATTCTATACTCCAGATCTGCTTCAAAGGTACCTAAGCTACTCCATGCTGCAGGGGAAACCTGATTTCCATTAAATGCAGCTCACCTGAGATTCACACTAGTATGCTACTCAGATGCATGCTAGAATAGGATATTACTCCAGTAACTTCCAGGAGAAGCAAAAATTGTTTGATCGACTGTTAAGCATATTTAATATTAGTAATATTAGTCTGTTTTGGTTTGAAACACTTCATTTTTAACACAAGCTTTAATAACGACAAACTAAACTTCTAACACGTCCAGCAAAATATGCTTAGCATTACAGCTATTGAAATTAGTGGTTTTAGTTTAACATAATTGTTTTCCTATAAAGTATATATTGAATGCAATTCTGGGAGGCAAATGCAAGACTTCCATGTGATACACACTGTAAAAATGATTTTCAACATGAACCAGACACAAACTGTTTAAACAGCTGTAACAAGTAGTAATGGACTCAGTACCAAAACGCCAATTACGTCAATGTAATTATTTTAAATAAATAATCTATCAATAATATGTTTATCATACTATTGCTCTCAACGCTGATTTTTCCAAAACTGTGTTCTGACTTACTAGTTGAGCATTTTGGGTGATGTCAAGAGCTACTTTTGGGTAAAGAACAAAATGTTAACATTTAAAAGGTATTACTATTAAAGCCACAAACAGAAGCATGCAGTTTCATTCATCCACCCAAACTTCACATCAAGTGTTTCAGAGATAATCTGTTTTAAAGAACATTTTTATATTAACAACTGATTTATCATTTTGGGTAGTGGGAATCTAGTGCATCATATACTCAATTCTGCAGCACTGTGGAAAATGTAGTTATCTATAAACCCTCCCTGTTGGATGGATCCCTACTCTAATCTTGAATAAGTCTCCCTTCCACAGCAGATTTTTGTGTTACTGTTTTGTTGTTTTAGGGGCCAAATTTCAAAACACCAGCATGCAGCAAGTGGTTAGACTGAACCAGAAATCCCTGGAAATGCATCACATACACTCGCCTCAGGCTCTGGAGGACCAATCAAGATGTTCAACATCCTGAGCACTTCCCTGCCATCCCTAGTGCATGGGAAATCTGCTGGTGGATCCACTGACCCCACTTCTGCTCACCTACATACTAGAAGGTGGGGATCTTCACCACAACAGAGATGCATGGGACATGGGGCAAACTGCACTTCTGCTGTACCAGAGTCTTCCCCAGCCTTACAGGGGCAAAATTTGGCCTTTAATACTCAATCTAGGAACGGACAAGGACACTTGATGATTTCCTGTTCTGTTCATTACCTCTGGGGCACCTGGCATTGACCACTATTGGAAGACAGGATACTGGGCTAGATGGACCTTTGGTCTGACTGTTCTTATCTAAATTTCCCTCACTGAATAATAAAACTTTGCCCTCCTCTTAATGACTATCCCCAAAGTCATTAATGAGAAAACTGACTGGTACTACATCCCTTATTAGAATTTTCTTAGACAAATGTATACTCCGAGTTAATCTCTTAAGAAATGACAACTGGATTAGAGGGTGTCACATGGAACCGTATCACATGCCATACCAAAATTGACAAACTACATTTCATTCATCTACTACATTTATTATCTTATCAAAGTTTCACATTAGGTTTTCATGAACCCCATGTCCCACTACTGATTATCTTGTTTCCTATATAGCCACTTGCTTTTGTTCAACCAATCCAACGGGTGTTAAAAATCACTGATTTCCAATTCTCTGGTTCCCTCTTTCTTTGAGGGTTAAGTTGAGTTAAATTAAAAGTAGTCAAGTTATCTGCAAATCACACATACACACAGCAACAGAACTGGGGAGACATGGAATATTTTCATAAGTTTGGCCATCAGCAATACAACTATTTTGGAAACCCAAAAGTAAAAAGAAGTGCTGCCTACCAACTATCTCCTCCTGCGTAGTTACTCTGCTCAGATGTGGCTGGGTAGCTTTCAAGTTTTTTTGTTTTGATTTGAAGATCTTATTTTGGAAGCACATTAAAACTATAATTTAACAGATTACTAGCAAAATAAATCTGAAGGCGGCCTAGTAGTTGACAAACCATTAACATGTAAACATCTAGAAATAAAGGTAGTTTAGAACATGCTCCTCTTCTCCCCAGTCTTTCAACAGTACTGTGACCATTTACGTATCTGTGGAAGAAATACCAATTGTCCCATGGGTAACAGCTCATGCCAATGGCACCATGGCCAAAGAACCCAAGAAACTAAAAAGTAAAATAGTTAAATGATACGTGAAGCAATTGAAGAAAGTTGTAAAAAGGATAGTACTCACTTATTCTCAGAATCAGCAGGTGGGTGTTCCTCTCCTTCTGGTGTTTCCTCGGTCACGTTTGACTGATCCAAATCACTGCAATTAAGAGATTTCTCTTCAAACCACCATCTAACTGTTTAAAACTACTAAGATGTTACCAAATCTCTAACGCAGACTCACTTAATAGTCATGAGTAAGGCTACGTTTTAGTCATGGGTATTTTTAGTAAGGCATGGACAGGTCACGGGCAGTAAAGAAATTCACGGCCTGTGACCTGTCCATGACTTTTACTATATACCCCTGACTAAAACTTGGGGAGAGGTGGGAAGGTGCAATTTGGGAGGGCGGCCCTGGGGGGCTGGTTCCCCTACCCTGCTCCTGGGAAGCAGGGACCCCAGCTTCTAGCTCCACCTGCTGCCTTCACTCTACCTCAAGCCTTGATTCTGCAGCTCCCAGTGGCTGGGAACTGTGGCCAATGGAAGCTGCAAGGGCTGAGGGAAAGGAGTTGCTGTCGCCCTTCCGGGGAGCGCCCCCTCACCCCCCAAAGGCAAGCAACCCCCAACCTCTATCCCCAGCCCTGGAACCCCCACACACCCAAACTCCTGCTGCTGGGGAACGGGGGGGCCCCCCCAAGACTGCCCCAGCAGCAGCTGGCGCGCCTGGCCCAGGGGCTGCCCAAGCTGCCCTGGGGCAAGACACACCAGCCGCTGCAGAAGTCACGGAGGTCATGGAATCCATGTCAAACACAGAGCCTTAGTCATGAAGTTGAGCTTTTCTCACTATTTCATGAAAAACGTTAGTCTCTTTATAGATTTAAGAAGGCCAATTGCTGCAATTTTCTGGGCAGTTTTCCCAAGACTTGTATTGCTCTTAGTATCAATCCCCAATACTTCAAGTGCCCTGCCTCTTCCTCAAATGTAAAACTGACCAAGGCATTAAAGTGAGGACTAGAAAGACAATGAAGCCCTTGAAAAAGTGTAGATGTAAAATGATACAAAGTGACAATCACTGCTTTTCAAAAAGTGAAAAAGAAAAACATCTTAGAGTCAAAAGTCCAAGTAACCTCAAATGTTACTAGCAAGTTATTAGGTAACCTTTTGCTTGTCAAGTGTTAATAAGGTTTCAAAACCGATTTTAAGAAAACGAAGTAATGCTGTTTCCACTAACACTGGAGACTTAAAAACTCCCACCAAAAAATACAAATTCCAGAGAGGCAAATACTTTTTTTATATTTTATAAATAGTGGAAACTGGGGGACCTGTTTACATTTTTCTAATTTAAAATTTCAAGAAATTACAGATTACTAACGTTAGCTCATCTTTGACGGTTCCCCAGTTGTGTGATCCGCTGCCACCACGTTTATCCTCATGCTTTAGGCCACTGAAATGGGAATGTGAGAGAGAACTAACAAAACTGAGTTAACATAATAGTGTCTGGATACAGAAATTCAAAGGCAAATGAAGATTTGTATTCTATTAAAGGCTAACGAAAAACACAATAGGAAGAGTTTAAGACTTACGATCTATCACTTCCACTATGTCTGTCAAATTCACGTTTGCCACGGGAGTCAAAGCCATCTCCTCTGCCCATTCCACGTCCACGACCACCACGTCCACCTCTTCCGCCTGGACCACCACGACCACGCACAAGTCGGTCAATAACGGGTCTATCATAGAACAGAGGCCATTAAATATTACATTTCCAAAATGTAAAGCACAGCTCACAGAGCCTTTCAATATATTTGTTTTTAAACTCTATGCTGTATATCGTTAGTAGAACATCCATTTAGGCATACTACGATCTAATTACTATATGAAAAAATAGCACTTTAAATGCAGCCTGAGTTCTAAAATCTTGAAACAATGCTTTAGAAGTCAACTGCATACCTTATTTCATCTAGTAATCAACCATATTTTTGCAAGCAATACAACAAATATCACAAGAACCACATATTCTCTTTAATAATGGCCATTCTCCCCCAGCTTATTTCTTTAAAAAGTAATGATGTTTTCATTATGGTACAATTGCTTAAAAATTATAATACCTGGTGGAACTGCATTTAAAACACACAATTCTGGAATTCACATAACTTAGGCCTTGTCTACACAGAAGTTGCATTGGTCTAACTAAAATCAGTTTGAAAACCTCTAATTAAACTGACAGAATCCCCTGTATGGCTTAAAACTTGATCTATAGGTTTAGCTTTTGACTGTAAATTGAATAACTGTAAATCGACAAACTAAACTGATTTAGACCTATAAACAGAGTCAGGACAGAGTTCTGCACAAGTTCAAAAAAAAACAAACCACACCTTTAGTTAAAATCAGTTCAACTGTATCTAGACCTTGGGTCCACCGTAATCTGGATCAAGTATATAAACAAAGTCATGCAATAACGATAAAGATCGTTATTCTACTTTGCACGATTACAAATCTTTTCTGATGAAGTTAACAAAATTAAGATACCAATATTCTGATCCAACCAGCTCAAAGATTTTATTAATTTTGTACACCAGTAGAGGGAAATAAGAGTACTGACCCAAATCATCACAAAGATTGTTTGCAAGATGAAAATGTCTTACTTATCCACAGAAAATTCCCCTCCTTCACCCTTCTCTTCAGCGGGTTTATCGAATCGGCGTTCACGAGGCGGTCGTCTCTCCTGTCTCCTCTCAATAGGCTTGCCTTCACCCTGAGGCGGCTGCTGCTGCTGCTGCTGATCAGGCCGTCTGCCAATTCGTCTTATACCTAAAATAAGAGACAATCTGCATCAGCAAATTATTGAGCAACCAAGAAATTGTGACTCTACCAGCACAAAAGCAACACACAATACAGTGTTGACATTTAGGTTTTACTTCCAATCTCCTGATGGCTAGGGGTTTGGGAGGATTTCCTTTTACAAGTAATGTTTTGTCCTTTTACTACCACAATGTAGCAGCTTGTGGCTTTTTTTTTTATTGGCTCCTGGCAAGCAGGGGTAAGGGGGGCGGGAGGGTGTCAAGAGAGTCAGGGGTGCACAGCAGGCCCACCACAGTCCCAGACTGCACGCCGCCGGGGAGATCTAGTCACATAGAGTGTTGGGGTTCTTAGGGATTGGCTCGTTTTGGCCTCGTTTTGAAATGGGATTAGCTTGATTTTTGGCTTATTGTGAAAGTCAGAGTGCTTATTTACCACATGAAAGTTGGCAACTGTGCTTCAGATGTGTCACATTAAAGAAAGTTAGCATCTGCATCAGACGCACTAGAGCTCTGCTCTGATGTGTGGATGGATGAAAGTGCCTTTACATCACCTTTCTGCTCCATCCTCACTCATCCTAGGACTGGTAAAGTGGCTGGGGATTGCCAGGGCCCACTGTGCTCTAACCAAGCATCCTCCTACCCCAGATATTGTTTGTTATTTATATTACTGTGCTGCCTAGGCGCCCTACTCATAGAGACCCCACTGTGATATACAATGGATAAACTTTTCCCTCTGCCTACCAAATGGTGTAGAACCAGCTATTCTGGCTCTGTGACAGCGAAGGATTCACCCAAACCATTATAAACTTTAGGAACACTTTGTGCCACCAGCATAAGTTATTTTCTCCCTGCAAGAGCTCACTTTCCCCACTCCCATTTGCAGGTCACTTTTAAAGGGACATTACACCAGTTTTTCACTGTGGGATGTCTGGAGGACTCTAAATGGACAATTGTATGGTATTGTTCTTTTAGAAAAAGTTAACTTACTGCTCTTTAGAATGAAAACAGTCAGTTCACCAGAACAAATTTGTTATAAGCTCGTTTCCCACTCTGCCATTATCTTCCATAACAAGCCACATCATTTCAAAGCAACAGAAACAGCTTGATTTCTATGTTTCTCTCCTGAACACATTCTAGTTAGAGAATTTTAGATATTTAGTTTCCCCATTTTACGCTACTACGGTTATTTTCATGAAAAAGGAACCTTTGTTTATTGGTATTAATATCTTCCTGCTGTTCACTCCTTATGTGGAACTAAGTTAATTGATATAATCAAAACTATATTATGTCAAAGACCATTATGACTTCATAAGTTATGATCAGAAGGGACAAAAGAACTCAAAGAAAAAGCGACCCTGCTTTTATGCAAATCTCTTTTGTATTGCAAAGTTCAGAATGCTAAAAATATACAAAAGCTGGTTAAAAAAAAACAAAAAAACATTTCCATGAAACATCAGCTGCTTTAACATAAAATCAAAACAAGCAGGAAAATAATGTATATCAACATTAGAAAAAAGCAACACAACCACTGAAACTGTAAAAAAAAAAGTTATTAAAAAATTATGATTCAGCTATGAAAACAATAGCCATATTCCCCATGAACCTACTGTTTTGTAGGCTCTTATTCAGAAGAGTCAAGCCATGTTGTCTTTGATCCCAAATTTAAAACTGCCAAATTTCAATCTCTATAATAAGCCAACCGCCTGAAGAAAAAGCAATGCTATATTTGGGTGGAGCTATAAGAACTAGCACATTTGTAATGATATCCAAGCCAAACACACACAAATGAACAATAACTTCCTTACCCTACAAACATGTTTTCAAGACCCAAAACTCTTGCTAAATAATCCTTTTTCCATGTGAAAAGATGGAAGTTAAACTTACTGAGATTTACTTTAATAGAACTCTTTGGAGGAAAGGAAGTATTATCCCAATTTTACAGATGCACAGGTGAGGCAAAGAGAAATTAAGTGACTGGTCTCAGGCCGTACAGGACATATGTTGCAGAACCTGGAATTGAACTTAGATCTCAAAAGTCCAAGTCAAGTGCTTTCAGCACAAAAATCCGCATTTCTAGCAGCCTTTTTTATGAGTTTCTGAAGGTGCAGTTCTTCAGCTCTTATATTTTAAGACTAATATATTGGAGAGGCAGTTTAGACAATGTTATGCCTATTTATGACTGGCATTTGTATTTACACATGTACCAATACACAAATTTATCCTAGCACATAAAATTAAGAATACCATTAAAAGTGAAATAAAACATTTGTGTTCTATAGAAAATCAGGCATGCTTACAATCATGAGTGAATTTTTCCTTAATACAACATGCCAAGTTTAAAACTCCCTCTACCTTTATTATTCCAGTGAATGGACTTGCTCCTGTTGGTCAGGAAGAAACAAAAGTAAGTCAGGCCCTTTTAATATGATAGTTGTCTTATGGGTCAAAATCTTACTGTTCTGTAGCTTTAATCAGGAGTATTACCCACATTTAAAAATCTATTTCATGAGGGAAGACAGAGCAAATTTATGATAGCTGGTCTTTCAAAAAAAGCTACCAGGTTAGTAACTGTCAGTTGGTATTTTCTGAACCTGTTATTCCACTGCTCAGAATTACTTAGTATTTCCTTGGTTAAAGTGACATATTTTGGTAAAGTTATTCTCGCACTTGCCAAAAGTTCAAAAAAAGCACCCGGAGACAATATTGCAATATACTTTTTCTTAAAAAGAAATGCAATGTGTTAATCTTTAGTACTGTAATTATTTCTACTCTTCTGTAGGTAGAATTATTTCTACTTTTCTGAGTAAGATTTTTAAGAGCTCATTTAGTTTTGGTTAAGTCGTAATTATCTTATTAGTTTGCCAAATAGTTCTTTATCCAAATATTACCCAAGCACTTTCAATGCACTCAAAAATTATATGATGAGCATTACAAATTTAGGCCACAATCTTTCAATCATGCATGTGCTGAAGTTTATGTACATAAATAGCCCTCAATCACTGTCCTGCTAGGGTACCTTTGGCAAGTATCTTCCCTCCCTATGCCTCAGTTTTGACATCTGTAAAACGGGGATAATGATACTGATTTCCTTCCTAAAGTGCTTTGAGATCTAATGATGAAATGTACCATATTATCTGCCAATGAACTATACACATGCTTAAAATTAAGCATTTATTTGCAGGATCAACCCATAAAAAAGTAAATCAAAGACATTAATTTTATTGTCACTATATTTTCGTATTCCTTCACTTGTTCATAAGAAAAATTAAACTTTATTACAGTCCATAAAAAAGTTTACCATACATTTATTTACGAGTGTAACTTCAATAGTAACGCATCTGAAAGACAATGTACTTTTATTACTAATCTCAATCCAAATTATTCTTAAAAAAACCAAAACAGTATTTCAGAATGAATCTGAAAGGCTATGAACTAAAACTGAAAAGAACCCAGAAGAAGAGTGTTAAATGTACTATTAAATGGGACATGTCCTTAGAGATACAATTTAGGCTTAATAGACGATTATTAATCAGTCTCTAATTCATATTCCCAAATGTTTCCTTACTCATGCCTTTCTTGCCAGTTCGGTGAGTACCCCACTTCAACAATGAAAATTTTACCACAACTGTGTCCAAACATACAAAAATAAAGACATCAGCTGCACCACAAATTAAACGGCTCCATTTTGAGCTTCCCAGCCAGTGGAAGGCGGCGGCAGATAGCTTCGGCTACTGCGTTATGGGAAGGGGATCGACAACATACTGCAAACGCACGTGGCTCAGGTATAATTAGCTCAGCTTCACTAACACTAACACGCGGCTCCCGTGCTTTGAAAAGTGATGCAACTCCCCTTGGAAAAACAGACTCGGCTGATAATTTTCCGTCCCAACACTTTAAGCGTGCCGGGCCTCCCCGACACGCGGCTGCCATCCCACCCAGACCCGTATCGCCAACAGGGTCATCCAGCCTCCAAACGTCTGTCGGTGCAATGCTCCGGGTACTGGGTAACATACAAGCACCAGCAGGTCTTACTCAATCCTCTTTCCTAACCCTGCATAGTTGGGTCACCCCAAGCCTCCTCCAGCCATCCCCAGCAACTAACATGGTTAGATCGCCTTCGGTCCAGCTCCTCACCCCCACTTAGATGCAGCCCCCTCCTTCCCAACAAGCATGTGCGACAGGCCTCACTTCCCCCCACGTGGGTAGAGAAGCAGCGGCCACGGCCTGCAACTACCCCACCCCGCCACCCCCAGGAGCAGGTGGTGTCTCTGTGGGGATCGAGCAGGGGCTGGCCCACCTGGGGTTTTAGAGACTCCCATGTTCAGCCTGTGCTGCCAGGCCGCCGGCCGCGTGTGGGGGTGACGGGCTGTCACCCTGGGGCGGCAGCTCTCCCTCACTAGGCCAGGAGGGGGATGCGCCGCTTCTAGCGGCACATCTGCAGGCCCAAGGGGGCTTAAAGACTCTGAACCCTGCATCGGGGGGGTACAGCCTCCCTCCTCACACCAGGGCAAGGGGAGCTGCCGCACGTCTCGCGTCTGAAACTCCCCCCGCTCCGGTCCCGCCGCCCTGGCGGATTTGGGCGCGGGCCGCATGGGCCGCCTCCCCGCCCGTCGTCCCCGCTCACCTTCCTTCCTAAGCGGCGCGGCGGGCTGCCCGCTGCCCTCCTCCCTGCGGTCGCCGGCGCCCCCGGGCGAGGCAGCGAAGGGGGGCAGCGGGTTCTTGCGCTCTTTCTGTGACTCCCTGCGCAGCTGCTTGGCCGCGCTGCTGCTGCCGCCGCCGCCTCCCCCGGCCTGGCCCGAGCCCCCGCTGCCGACCCCGCCAGAGGAGTTGGCCTGGGCCGCCTGCCCGCTGCGGGTCCCGCCGCCGCCGCCCCCTTGGCTCCCGCCGCCGCCGCCGCTCTCCTTCCTCCGGCTCTCGGCCGCCCGCAGCACCTCGAAGGGGTCCGACTCGTCGTCAAAGAGCTGGTCAAAGCGGTTGGTGACGACGCAGCCGAACCCTTCTTGCAGGTGTCCGGGCATGATGGGCCCCTCTCGGCGGGATCCTCCTCCGATGCTGCCCAGGCCCCAGCCCCCTGCTCGCGATACCACACAAGATGGCCGGCCCCAAAGAGACCCGCTTCTCTTCCGGCGCCAGGAACAGCCGGGCTTTGCCGCGCGCAAAGCATCGCGGGAGCTGGAGGCGGCCGACCGCGACGGCAGCTCTCGCGCTTGGAAGGGCGGGACTACAATTCCCAGGATGCAGCGCAGGACCCGCGTGCGTTGGGGGCGGGGGGTGAACGCGCGCTGGTGTGTGGCGAAAGGAGACCAACGCAGAGCTGGAGCGCAGGCCCAGCCCCGGCTGTAATGGCTCCGCAACAGGGCCACCCACGTGGGCAAGGCTAGCAACCACCGTGGGCCAGGCCTCCCCTTCCCCCAGTGCCTTGCACTGCGCTTCTGCTGGCGGGGCGGCAAGGTGCTGCTGCGAGGGAAACAAGGCCCCGCACACGCACAGCCTCCCTGCTGCTGCAGCCAGCACCGTTATTCCTAGTTGGCTCCCCATCACTTTTAAAGGGTGTTCACAGCCTGTGCTGGAAAGAGCCACGGAGCAGCCCCCCCAGCGCCCCACTACCATAAATAGGGTTGAACACTGGTATGTTTCATCACACAGATCTTGGTTGCAACCAACTCATGTCCACAATGGAGTGGAAACTGCCCTAGCCCCTGTTGTGTTTGAACACAGATGGGTCCTGCTACAGGGACACCTACAGCTATTTTTTTTTTTTTTTTTAAAGAGAGGCAAAAGTGATGTTTGGTTTCTAAATGTACTGTGTTTTACAATGTGCACGTGAGGGCACCTTGGGGTCAGTTTCACCGTGCACTTGTTTCTCTCTCAACTGTGGTGAAAGACTTTTTAAAACAGGAAAATCTGATTGTAAACCCATACAAGTTAAGGGGCAACTCAGATTTGGCCTTGGTAAAATCATGCTTTTAGAAAAGGTAGAAGTTTTTATAGGTTTGTTTTAATACCAGTATAAACAGTTACTTTAAAACAAAACTTTGGCTGCAGTATTACCTCACCCATCTTGTCTATTTGTAACCCAGACATTTAATGGTTTACAATAGTAGAAATAAATTGGCTATGAACCTAAGTGAAACTATGCTGTTCAGATTTTTCTACTCAAGCCTGAGAAGATTTTTTAATTTTTTTTTAAAAATTGACAATTTTTAAGTCTCCATTTTACTTTGTACCATATTTATGCTTTAAAAAAAAAAACTTGTCAGCCATCTCAGCATGGACAATGAAAGTCAATTTTAATATTTTTTAGGTGTTAATAACTAAGGCTCCACTTAGACAATGAACTCATCACCATACTGTCCCCTACTGAAACTCTGTGCAAACAGAGGTTTGCTCATATGGTTCTCTCTAAGCCTGAAATGGGCTCCACAGCCGATATACATGTAACACATCCATTAACAATATGATCTGAGCTATGTCATTAACTCTACCCACCATATTGCTTGTGTGATGGCTGCCATCTTCACCAACCTAGAGATTGGTCCAGGGATCTCCAGAGCTGAAAGCAGGAGTCTTGGCAACTTGAGCTAGGTGCTGTAGATGAGGGCTGTAACATATTTTCTGTTACACACACGCACAGATGGCATCTCATAACACACACTGACCAGTGCCAGCAATGCCCCTCTGCCATGTACATTGGCCAAACCGGGCAGTCTCTACGCGAAAGAATAAATGGACACAAATCAGACGTCAAGAATTATAATATTCAAAAACCAGTCAGAGAACACTTCAACCTCCCTGGTCACTCAATTACACACCTAAAAGTTGCAATTCTTCAACAACAAAAATCTTCAAAAACAGACTCCAACGAGAAACTGCAGAACTGGAATTAATTTGCAAACTGGACACCATTAAATTAGGCTTGAATAAAGACTGGGAGTGGATGGGTTATTACACAAAGTAAAAACTATTTCCCCATGCTATTTTTTCCCCTACTGTTACTCACACCTTCTTGTCAACTGTTTGAAATGGGCCATCCTAATTATCACTACAAAAGATTTTTCTCCTGCTGATAATATCCCACCTTAATTTATTAGTCTTGTTAGAGTTGGTATGGCAACACTCATTTTTTCATGTGTGTGTGTGTGTGTGTGTGTATACTGTATTTTCCACTGCATGCATCTGATGAAGTGGGCTTTAGCACACGAAAGCTTATGCCCAAATAAATTGGTTAGTCTCTAAGGTGCCACAAATACTCCTCGTTCTTTTTACTGACCAGTGGCTTACACTAGCAATAATCAGAAATGTATCAAATTTAACTGTTGAAATGGAAAAACTTCATGAATACAGGAATTACCTTAAAGAGATATTGCCAAGGTTAGTAAATCTACAGTTAAACCTATTTTTTAAAACATCTTTGCAAGTTACACCACATTTTAATGTATAAAAGTACGCACGCCTGAAAGCTATTGAGCATCTTAAATACTTTAAACCAAAGAAAAAATGACTTAGTATTAACATGGCTCAGCAATCGCAGGGGCTACAGGAATATAAATATCAAGCAATAAGCAAAATCCAAGTAGTTGTCGCACTCTCAACTCATATCTAAATGTGATATTTAAAAAAAAAAAATACATGTCAGCTACCTACTCAAAACACCTCATTACAGGCCCAGTACATACCCGCAGATAAGGAGTCAGTAGAGAAACATTGCATTTCAGGATTCCACTGTGAGTGTGGAACCATTTATAAAATATTCTTCAGGTATCCTTCCAAGGACATTTAATCCTACTTTTAAAATGAGACTGAAGCCATTTATAGGGATTGTTTAAGGGATTACTCAATTTGGCCACTGTATATTTACAATTTTCAGGTACTTTTATATAATTATTTGTGTACAAAAACATTTTAAGAGTATGTTCATAATCCAGAGTGAAGGCAAGAATCACAGAACTGTGACTGACCATATTTTTTACATGTTCAGATAATTTTACATGATATTTTAAAATCTAAAATAGAGGTGTCAATCCATCTATGAAATTGGAGATAACTTAATTTACTTTTATTTTTATTGCCCTATTGACCAGTGGGAAACATTGTTTAGATTCCCCCCACTTCCAATTTTAATATTGAAATTACTGTACTCAGTAATTGGTGTTTTGTTGCAATTAAAAGTTCCTAGCACAAACCCTTTGAAACATAGGACCCCTTCTGGCTGCATACTATGTGGCAAAATGTCATTGTTCCTCCCATAGCCTCTACTGTTGTATTATTTCTGAGTTCAGATACATCTAATAGCCACTTTCAGGACTTTCACATATTAAGCAGGAGGAAACAATGTTAGTGTGCTATGCACTGAACGGCAGAAAGATGTCAATTACTGCTATCTACTATTTGATTTGGAGATTAACAGGATTCTTACATGCGGATTATGAATACTGTTAAATCACGGTCCTCAGAGTAATGCAGATAAGGCATGAAGATCACCTACATGTTAAATGCTGGGTGAACATTTGAAACCCCACCCTCTCCACCCCCCACATAATTAAAGGGTAAACATGTTCCAGCAAAGTCACTAAAGAAATATGTACCCAGGATGTGCAAGATGCATTAACATTGGAATTACCAGACTGGATCAGATCCAAAGTCCATCTAGTCCACTATCCTGTCTCTGATAGCAGCCAACACCAGATGCTTCAGAGGAAAGTGTAAGAACCTTGCAGTAGGAAGATGTGGGATGATCTGCCCCTAACACAGGTCTCATTCGGGTCTCCAATAGAGACTGGTTTAAACCCTGAAGCATGAGGTTTAATATCCCTTCCAATTTTTTCATAGTGATTTATATGGCTATTAAAAATACCCAGAGTTACTATAAATAATGTACAATCCCTTTTTGAATCTGGTTAAATTTGTGGTCTCAGTGACTTCCTAACGCAATAAGTTTCACACTTAAACCACAGCTGTGAAAAAAGTCCCTTTATTAGTTTTGAATTTACCACCTTTTCATATAATTAAATGTCCTTCTACTCTTGTATTATGAGCCAGGGAGAATACCTTAGTACTTGAGATGTACAATCCTACTCCTTCAGAGAATCAGAAATTTGAGATGAAAATGGTGCTACTACCTAGTCCATCATATTTCACAGCTATTACTCACCTCTAGGTCACCAAGTCAAATCCAGCTTTGATTTAATGATCAACATTAGTTATCGCCTGCTTGGGTCCTCTATAAAATGTTCGGGTGATCTCATTCTAGGTCCTGGTGGATGAATAGTCACATCATCAGACAAAAGCACCTATTACAACTGGTACCCTAATTTACAAACTTGGCAGAAGTTCCTAGGATTAATAGCCATAGAGGCTGAATTACTTGGAGTCCCTAAAGGGTCTGATTTTGGCCCTGGCATATACAATTTTAATATCCCTATTTTGGCACCAGACCACCTTGCCACAGAAAGGTCTACTTTTCTATGCCCCCTCCCCCCATTCAGGCATTGCTTAGCTGAGTTGTTCTGGAATCAGCACACACACCAGGAGGAGTCCCACAGCTGGGCCAGCCAGTGAGAGGCTCTACGTGCTGATGCTGGACCAACTCAGCTAAGGGGCATCTGAACAGGGAGGCCATGGCCCCATCACTTATAGAAGTGGGAGGGCATTTTTTTCCTGCCTTATGGGCAAGCAGTGTGAGAAGAGGGCAGAGAGGAGTAAGTGGGGGATGGGACACAGTTCTAGTGCCGATAGCCCCCCCATTTCTAGGGAGCTTCTGGCACTCCTCTATGGAGGGGGAACCCCCCAAGGCTGCAACAGTAGCAGCGTCAAATAAAAACACACAGATATACTATCATCAGTATAGTCACAATGGAAAGTGAAACTTAAGATTCTGAACTCCCCCTTCCCTTGCTCCCTTTAAAGTTTTAACCAAGACATGCTTATTGACACATCTGCATCAGAGTGCTTGTGTATAGCACCACTCACAGTATCAGCCATGGTGGGTATGGCCCGCCAGGCGTGTTGGAAATGAGAAGGGAATTGCTTGGTTATATGAAACTATGAGTATAAGACAATGGCACTGAATATTGGCACCATTTTCCACAGGTAGTGGTGATTTTAGTTGAGGGTAACTAAGACACAGAGAGCACAGCTGCTGTGGG